GAGAGAGAGAGAGAGAGGGAGACGGTCACGGGCCTCGCTCCACTACTCACCACCTGCGCAAAAACTTCCCAAGATCTAGAGGAAGATTCGTTCTCATTTTGTACGATCCACCTATCCTCCATCCAGATAGTTGGACGGCATGTAAAGTGAGAATGAATCTTCTGCTAGAACGTGGGAAGATGCACCCGCCACATCTGTTGCCTTTTGTACACAAAAAACATGGTGGTGTATCTTCCCGTTGTCTAGCGGAAGATTCATTGTCATTTTGCATGCCATCCACCTATCGGGATGGGGGATAGGTGGACGTCATGCAAAATAAAAATGAATCTTCTGCTAGAACATTGGAAGATACACCACCATATTTTTTGTATGTATGGTGGTGTTCTAGCGGAAGATTTATTCTGATTTCGCATCACCTGTCCCCTATTGCGATAGGTGGATGGCATGCACAATGGGAATGAATATTCCGGTAGAAGATGGGAACTGATGGGAACTGAGACATGCTAGCGGCGATCTTGCCATGTTCTGGTGGAAGGTTCATTCTCATCATGCATGCCATCCACCTATCTGGCGGAAGATTCATTCTCATTTTGCATGCTGTCCACCTATCTGGATGGGGATACGTGGACGTCATGCAAAATGAGAATGAATCTTCCCCTAGAACATGTGAAGGTGCACTGCCATATTTTTTGGGGGGAGGGAGAGAGAGAGAGAGAGAGAGAGAGAGAGAGAGAGAGAGAGAGAGAGAGAGAGAGAGAGAGAGAGAGACGCTAGAAGATGGGAACCGCCACATTCTAGCGGTGATCTTCCCATGTTGTCGTGGAAGGTTCATTCTCATCGTGCATACCATCCACCTATCTGGCGGAAGTTTCATTCTCAGTTTGCATGCTGTTCACCTATCTGAATGGGATTACGTGGACGTCATGCAAAATGAGAATGAATCTTCCCCTAGAACACGGGAAGGTGCACTGCCGTATTTTTTTTGGGGAGAGAGAGAGAGAGAGAGAGAGACGCTAGAAGATGGGAACCGCCCCATTCCAGTGGTGATTTTCCCATGTTCTGGTGGAAGGTTCAATTCTCATCGTGCATGGCATCCACCTATCTTGCGGAAGATTCATTCTCATTTTGCATGCTGTCCACCTATCTGAATGAGGATACGTGGATGTCATGCAAAACGAGAATGAATCGTCCTCGTAGAACACGTTAAGGTGGACTGCCAGAGAGAGAGAGAGAGAGAGAGAGAGAGAGAGAGAGCAACAGCCATGGGCATGGCTCCACTACTCACCACATGCACAAAAGATGAGAAACATGGCAGTGTATCTTTCCAAGGTTTAGCGGAAGATCCATTCTGATTTTGCTCATTTGGTGTCCACTGCTCTCTCTCTCTCTCTCTCTCTCTCTCTCTCTCTCTCTCTCTCTCTCTCTCTCTCTCTCTCTCTCTCTCTCTCTCTCTC